TGTATAAACTCTCGTTTGAAATAATAAAAGAACGCTCTGAACATTTAATACTGTCATACTATATATGTCTAGCCTTGAACAGAGCTTACGCACAAATCCCAAACTTTTTAGGTCCTTTATCAAAAACAGAAAATGCAATGATATGTTTACCAATGGCCATGATATTTGGAACTTATTTACAAATAAATTTTCTTCTGTCTGTAGTTATATCAATTGCACCACACCTACTATATATATGTAATGATGTATACTACGCCTCGTCTACGAACAATTATCTCACTGTTATAAAAATCAAAGATGATCAGGTGTTAAAAGTTTTAAAAATAATTAATGTCTTAGTAAAGGCGTTGGATTCGATAGTTTTTTTGAGAGGGGGGTGCCTAGGGGGTTCTTTTCTTAGTTTATAAACCATTATTATTCGTAAAGACATGTGCTGGTGCTTTGGCAAAACCTTTGACTGTTATTTATAACAAATCTCTAGTCACTTGAACATTTCCATATCAATGGAAAATAGCACTAATGGTCCTAATATTCAAAAACGGTGATAAAAATATTACCCTAAAATTGCAGATCTAATTCACTTCTTCCTGTATTTGCGAAGCTATTCAAGCAGTTACTTAGTCCCATTCTCTCTTGGCACTTTAAGCATCTGATCGATTCAAATCAGCATGGCTTCATGAGGAATAGATCATTCCTCAACATTTCATTAATAATATTTCACACAAACTAGATAGTCACTCATCATACAACCTATACCGACTTTAGCAAAGCCTTTGACTGCGTTAATCATAATATATTTCTCCACAAGCTCCACTTACTCGGAATCGGCGAACCCAAGCTGAGTTGGTGTCGGTCGTATCTAGCAGATAGAACTTCCAAAAGTTGTAGTCAACGGTTATTCTTCCAATCCCTTTTCAATTGCTTTTGGTTTTCGTCGCATTTAACACCCTTACTATTATTTAGAACTGTTGACTCTCCTCCAGATGCCATTTCGTTACAAAGTTATCTCTGCAAACTTGTCAACTGGTGTAAGACTAATAAAATGGACCTAAATTCTTCCAATTATAATAGCATTAGCTTTACAACCGTGTAGGGGTGTAAGTTATACACTACCCATATGGTTCCGTGGGTGTCATACGAGGTGTCAGAGGGAAATTAAAACAGGTGATAACACCTCAAAATAATAGCAAACTGCGGTTGACGACCCGCACGTCAAGCGTATCAGAGAGGCAATCTATGGTCGCCAATAGATTGCCTTTTGTATTCAGCCGTGGACTGAACATAGACTGTAATGGTAGGCGTTACAAATCCAATATGTATTCCTATTTGCAGCGATGTGACATAAGTGTCCAATTAAAATACGTGAAATAGGTATGATATAATATTAAGTATGGCTTTAAAGAATTTCTTTTTCGCAATATGACGCCGGTGGTAAATTACTTCACTCCTAATTGCTCGTATAACATTAAACAAATTAAATGAAATAATTAATGTTAATGTTTATTTTTATAATCATTGGTACGTCTATTAGGGTAGGGTTACCAGGCCTAAAAGTGCAAAATCCTGTCTGACATGTCTAAAAATCCTGATTTTGAAAAAAAAGTCCGGTCACGCACCTGCATTAAATAAAAATCATAGTATTTAAATACGTTTTTATTTACTTATATTATTTAGACCCATATTTTTGGTTGCAGGCAATCGCATGCAAAAAGTTGTTTTTTTTTTCAGCTATTTCGCAATAAAATTGTTCACACATCACGTGTTTATAGTTATATTGCGTAAGCAATATGGCTCTCACTGACTCCACTGAAAGTCTGTTTCTCTCTTTGGTCCACTGAGAAGTCATGAGAGAAAAGACTCTGTCCACATTTGCGTTGTGTGGCAAAATACTAAAGAAATATTGACAAATCTTCAGAAATTCTGAAACTCTTGAGCTGTCGTTAATTGTATTAAAAAAGATACACCATTGCTTTTCAGCGAGCTCGTCATAAAAATCGCTCTGTTTTGTGTTCAGAAAATTCTTAAGCAGGCAGAACTCTTCAAATAGTTTTGCGTCAACAGGAATTCCTTTATCCCTCAAAAACACTAGAGCATCTGTGATTTTTTCAAATTGTAGATCCTTCTTTAACCACGTCCATTCGAAGCATTTTACGGATTGTAAGGGTGTTATCCAAAGGTTACAGGAGGACATGCAAGTATGACAAAAATCCGGTCTGACGTAAAATCCGGGCGGAGTCCGGTCTAACACGTAAAAATCCGGTCTAGACCGGCTTTATCCGGTCAAATGGTAACCCTATATTAGGGGCATATCTACACAATATGTTTGTTTTGTCGAGACGATGGTTCATGGCTATACTACGAGTAGGTTCTATATTGAAGGACCAAAATGGCTCGTATTCATAATATTATGTTGGTTCAGAGTTCACCGTAAAAATCCGAAGTGTACTCAGAGCGAAACGAATCTCTACACCTACCGGTTAGAGCAGAATAACGACTGCAGGACCAGCTGGTATTATTATCACTTTCACAGTACAATACATTTTAACTGCAAGTTAAAAGAATTTTTAACGGAAAGAACTTATAGGTACATATGTTTGTTATTTAATAGTTGGAAAACTGGTAGGTATAGGTGTCATGGCAAAAGTAACCATATTTTCTTTCTTTTAATACCTAATTAATGGTTCACGTTAGTCGGACTGTAGTCAGTTACTCAGAACTACTATGCCTATTATAAAAATATTTTCAGCCAAAATTGCCTACATTATGAGATGATAAAAAAATAAATTGGTCCAGATATGGAAACATCGTTGCATCAGCGCTAAAAGAAAAGCCGCGCCGACATCTTGACTATGTGCCAACTTCGTTCAGCTAATCACCGATGCGTTATCACTTCTCCAAAAGTCGACAATTTTTCTATATCTTCCATGGTAATAAATACATAATACGAGAGGCGTTCAATGTAATCTCGGTATGGATATATTAAAAAAAATATAAAATTGTAAAATATTCATTTTTCAATATAGTCTCCCATGACATCAATACATTTACTTGTTCGCGAAAAATATTTTCTATTCCCTTGCAAAAATTATCGCTTTTTTATTGCTTCTCTGAAATAGCGTAAAGTAGCTGAGTAGGTTTTCGTCTGCGTTGATGGTTTCGCCTTTTTTTGTGTACTTGATCAATAGTATTCCTTTGGAATCCCAAATGACTTTGGCCATGATTTTGCCGACCGATATAATTACTGAACTTCTTCGGGGGAGTCTGATCCCTTTTTATGCCATTGCATAGACTCATGTTTACTCTTAGGATCATGGTAGTAAACCTGCGTTTCATCTCCTGTAAATATCCTGTCGAAAACACTTGTTGAGTCGTCACTACACATGCTCTAAAAACTCCCTACAACAGTCAACCCGCGCCTGCTTTTGAAGCACAGTGAGCATTCGTGGCCATCTTGCACCGACTTGTGTGAGGTTGAGACAGTCATACAATACGGTGTGTATTACCAACGGATAGGTTTGTCATTTCTGCTAACATCTTAATTCTTGCTCGTAAATCTTTTAATACAAGTTTTTCAATAAATTTCACATTTTATTCTGTACCCGCTGTGATTGGCCAACCCGGGCGGGGTTCAACTTCGATGCTTTCCCTGCCTCTTTTGAATTCGTTTGACCACTTCTGTGCGGTTGAAATTGAAGGAAAAGTCTTGGTATCGGCCACCATTTCTTTATGAATGTTTTTTTGAGTTTTTCCTTGTTTAGTGAGGAATTTAATCACCGCACAGTGTTCGATTTTTTACATTGTTTCATTCCCGTCGTCTATGAATGAAGGTTACATATGAAGTATATATAATTTCATATTTATACCCTCAGGTAGTATCGTTACCGAATGTTTTTTTTTAATTACCCACATTATTAGCAAATTACTCTAATACCGAGAATACATTTAACGCCCTACGTATGTTTACGCCAGCTTTAGTTAGTCTCTTCATTTAAAAGTCGAAATAAGCTACTTTTTAATTTATTGTTGCCAAAACAAATATCCAAAAGAAAGTGTACTGCCAAGTACATGTATATATTATGTTTAAAGAAAATTACGGAAAACTTAATAATATTTATGAGACGACGTTAAACAAGGCGTAAAGGAAAATGTGAACACAAATAACGTTTAAATAAGTAACTTAAAAAAAAACTATTAGGTATACTCGTTTCACAGCAATGAAGAAACCAAGGGATAAAAGCGTTATACACATGTTACAAACACTCACATTTTCTACAAAGGCCATCCTTTCAAAGTTTTCAGGGAACAGCCGTCATGTCTTTTTTAACGTCGCCTCATTTTCAACTTCAGTGATCGCCATTAAGGCGCGCTGTGAGCTGTCTAATAACATCCTAAAATGGAACGTAGGGCTCTTCTTGTTTTTTTTTTTACTCATTCTATTTTAAACTTGAACTATTCTTAATTTTTTTTAAATGTCAGAAAGATGGAAACACATGGCTGACAGTTTTACCATTTTGTTAAAGCTAGAAAAAATTACCCAACAACTACTCGATCTATGATTCTATATGATTCTCGCTATTATCGTGACATTTTTTACAACATCGTCCAATTTAGAAAATAAATTAGGCGCCTTAATCTATTTCTTCCTACGACGGCACAAAACGTTTATCAAGTAAATAAGTCTGCAAATAACCTTTTCGGTAGGAGCGACCACTTTAATAAATAAGTTTAGGGTGTGGCCTCAGAGTATACATATGCAAGCTATGGGTTATTTGTGCTCTAAGGGTGCGGTCCTTCGAAGACGTATGATATCTACCCTCAATTTGTTTATATTATAATCACTACAGGAAAAATTGCAGGTCTTTTTAAAATTAATATAAGTAATATTCATCGAATGAAATAATTTTTTTTTATTGTTACATTCATTTGATGATATTTAGTATTACCTTTTAGGTCTTGATATTTAGTACATGTTAGTACTTTTATGTACTTACTCGTAGTTTATGATTTACTCAGCCTGCGACGCATTCGCATTTCAAAGGTACGGGTCGCCTGGTACTGTTAATCCCTGTTCAGCGTGTCGGACATCGGAGAGGATTTGTTTTACTGGAAACTTTAATAAGCTGATGACAAAAGAGAAGATAAATGCGTAACAGATATTTGTTATTTATAGATAATATAAACTTCGCCGCTATCACAATTGTTACAAACTATATATTATGTTATTCATATTTATTTTAAAAGTAAATAATGTGTGTATGTGTGCGTGCGTGCGTGCGTGCGTGCGTGCGTGTGCGCCTATTTTAGTATATTTCGAATGGCAATTTATAAAATCTTTAGATTGAAAACCAACCTACATTATAAAAATCAAGGTTATTTTGGTACTGCAAATTAAATATGGAGGGCCGACAAAATGGGCCAGATGGACGATAAAAGTACTTCACTTGGGCATTGAGATATATATTTTAAGTACATTTTACACTTCAATTCACTTGGGGGTGTTATTATGTTATTTTTGTTACTACTACATATTACATAACGTGTAGTAATGGTGTAAGAAATTCCATTTGTTTTTGTTTATTTTTTCAAATTACGTTACCCCCACACTAGGATTTTCTCCTGTATCGTGGAGGCAGTTCACATACATAAATTGCACAAGGACAAACATCCAAACCCAGAACAATTATTTGTAGGTCATACAAATAATTGTTCCGTGCGGGATTCGAATCCGCAGCCCCCAATGCAGCAACTCATTGTTAAGCCACTGCGCCACGGAGCCATATCATCCCATCTGTATCATAAGATTCGACAGAGGGAAACAAATCAGGAGATGGGCAGCAGCCTCTTCCTAATAACGACTAAAAATAAAAAACTGCGTTCACCAATCCGCTTGCCACGCGTGGCAACTATGGCAAATATCCCTTTATGAAGCAATCTATGGGGAGGCCTATGTTCAGCAGTGGACTTTAATAGGCTGGAACTGTCACGTAATATACAACAAATCTCTTCAACATTTTTGTTAACTGTACGTAAGTTAAGTTGCCGATTTTGTCCACTTAAAATTATACCTAGTTTCCGTGCAGGCAAAATGAACTGGATCCTGAATTGCAGTAAACGTATTTAAGTGTCAATATTAGTTAACAAATTCTGCTGATGCTTAAATCCTTTCTTTGGTTTACTTTCACATTAAAATCAGCCAACTAACTTTCAGCCACTGCTAAACATAGGTTATGAAGCATGCCACAAAGCACGGTTCTGAATCACTATATACTTTTTTTTATAAAATAAGGGTGACAAACGAGCACAGTGCACCTGATGGTAAGTAGATGCTGTGGTTTATAGACATCTACATTCACCCTCGATTAAGAGTCAAAACGCAGAAACCTGAGCACTAAGGTGGAATGCCTCGCTACCAGTAAAAAAAGGGTCTACGAATCTCTACACTCACCATACGAAACGCAGAATTATTAAGCTGCTATTGTACGCTGGTATTCTGTGAGAGAATGGTCCATCCTCGATCGAGCCGACCCATTCGTGCTACAACCATATATAGCTGCAGCGTGGCTCTACCACCTACTAGAACAGACACCGAGAACAGAATCTGTGCGGCAGTGAAGGTCACGTGGTCGGAGGCACAGGGTACCTTTTTATGGCACTAACCACTAACCTGGACTAAGAAGGTTTGAAGCCAAGAGCTCTTACTTAACTTTGTTCAACTCGTGTTGCAAACAATCAAGTCTCGACGTATTTCTTCAATGTGCTGAATCACCTTAATCCACAGACATCGATATTTAAACTTTCGTTAGTTTTATTACAATTGGCTAATATTACTTTTACAGGACACAAGAAGGAGAAGGGGGGGACAAAAACATAACAGACACGGTAGCCCGAGTGCCGCCACACTGCCACATCACAATCAAATGCACTAGAGAGGTAATTGCAGATACCTATGTATATATGAAATCATTATAAAAAATTCGACTGGACTTCTACAGCGGCTGGTGTACCACATGGTGGCGTGTTGTCTCCTCTCCTGTTTGCAATTTTAACTTACTCTATAAGTCATAATTTGTCCTCTTCCTACCACTTGTATGCTGATGATCTCCAAATCTATACTCAGTCCTCTCTTGAAGATCTGTCTAAAGCAGTTGACACTATTAACGCTGATCTGACTTGTATATCAAACTTGTTGTAAATGTTTTAAAAACTCAGGGCATTGTCACGTGTCAGAAAAATTTACTGGTTTTTTTTATAGTATAGGGTGACAAACGAGCACACAGTCCACCTGATAGTAAGTGGTTGCTGCGGCCCATAGACGTCTACATCTATCCTCTATTACAAATCAGAATGCATATGCGTTGTCACTCCTGAGGACTAAGATGGAATTCCTCGTTTCCAGCAAAAGGGGTCTCCGGTTCTCTACACTCACCATACGAAACAAAGCAGCATTAAGCTACTATTTCACGCTGGTATTCTGTGAGAGCGTAGTCCTTCCCCGGTCGAGCCAACCCATTCGTGCTACAACTATACTATTAATATAACTGCAGCACGGCTCTACCACGTACTAAACTCCCCTACCTCCCTTCTTCTCTACCTCCTATACACTAGACTGCTCCCTTATCCCTTTACAGTAACAAGGTTAAAAACCTGGAGTTGTATCTCGACTCCTGTATGTCTGGGACCTCACAGGTTAATGAAGTTAGTAGAAAAATGTTTGCTGCGTTAAACTCTACGTAGATTACGTAATTTTCTTGCCACAGTAACTAAAGTTACGCTCGCCCAGTCTTTACTTCTGCCTATCCTTGACTATGCTGATATTTGCTATCTTGACATTACCGAGGAGCAGCTTAATCAGCTTGAGCGCATTCAAAATTTACGTATTTAATTTATATTTGGGCTTTGCAAATATGATCCCACCTCTGAATTTCACAAACAGCTCAAATGGCTCCCGATACTTCTCGCAGGAATACTCACATTCTCTCCGCATTGTATGGCGTGCTGTTTAATTCTTCCACTCCTTATTTATTAGACCGTTATATTATTTAATAGATCGTTTCCAGTATCTTTCCCTTACCCATAATCGGTTCCTTCGATCCTCTGTCAATCTTTCTCCCTCTATTCCGTTGTACTCTTCCTCCTTTTTAAAGAAATCCTTTACTGTAACTGCTTTGCGTTGTGGAACTCTTTATCTCTCCATATTCGTCGTGCTAAATCTCTTCACTCTCAAAAGTCTTGTTAAATTGTATTACTTAGATATATTAGATAAATTACTTTTCCTTTTTCGTACTCTTTTAATTTAATTAATTATATCGTATTATATATTTTCACTTTCTTTATTTATATGTATAATATTTTTTTTTGTACGCCCCTCTCTATTTTAACCATTATTTGCATCAGTTTTCTACGCAAAGATTGTGTTGAAGAGATCACTTTCAGAGTGATAAGGCCACCTGTTATACATATTCTATTTTAGACTTAACTGTACTCGTTATTTTGTATTTTTGTGTACAATGAAGAGTAAATAAACAAATATAATTCATTGCAGCCTCTCATAAGTCCACTGGTAAACATAGGCCTCCCTCGTAGATTATAGGATTTGCATTTTAGATCTTCCAATAATCCATGCCAGAGGGTTCTCGTTAGTAAGTTCGCCTTGATCGCTATGCTTGTCAGGCGGTTTGGTGATTGCCATAGAATACCATAATACATATATAACAGTACGGAGTCGGTGGGCGGAGCCCGCGTCGCCACAAAAATGACACTAACACGTCAATTCACACGCATAAATGTCAACACGAGATGTGTTTTGACGTTACAATCGTTTCCAAATTTCGCATGCAATTTTTTTAGAAAATGCCACTTTGCACCCTATTTACAAATAAATATGTATTAAAATTTAATGATGATCTTGAACATTAATCAAAAGTCTAAAATGTGTGAATTTACTCAGTCTGTCAACACAGTGAATCGGGTTTGGCGACGCCAATCCTCGTATAAAATAAAGTTGACAGCCATTCTATTGTGTATTATAGTATTCTACGGTCATCGCAGAACCACACGTCTCGCACCTTTGACGCTGCTGTCTATCGCGAGTCTGGGTATTTTAAGTCTGACGTAAACGAGACGACTACACCGCAATTTATCGGAAGCTATGAGATCTTTCTGGCATTCCCCATAGCCGTCTAGTACGACACTCACGAGATGAAAGGGGATGATGATTCTCTTACCCCGTCACCTCACGACATGCAACATATATCTGTAAGCAAAGAGGGCCGTGTATTACGTGGTAGAGTGACACTACAGCTTTCATGTCTGCAGGACGATTAGCTCGGCTCGACCGGGGAAAGACCACGCTCGCTATACTCTGCGCCTCTGGCCTTTCCCGGCGTAAAATAGCGTCATAATGCCAATGTTTAGGGGTCATTGACGTGACCTGGCATATCATCGTAGTCCTTAGGGCTGGCCACGCTAAAAAACAAGTACTTGGACTTCCCAGATCGCGGGGTTCAACGGTCTATCAGAAGCGGTTCGCCGGCTGGATTTCTCTTCGGCGGTGCGAGATGTACGCAGGTTCAACTACATTTGCGCCCTGCTGGAGCTGCTGCTGGGCGGACAGCGTCTGACGCACCTGCCCGGTGCAGCGCAGAAGTTGCTTCTGTCTATGTTGGAGCAGCTCGCTGACCACGGTAGGTTTTCATCCACAATAAGTGAGTGTTTGAACGCTATCTTACCTAATAATAAGTAGTGATAAAAATAGAGACGTAACCTTAAATAATGTATCTTATATGTCATCTGTGGTTAGAAATAAGTAAAACATTATTATTATTAGTGATGTAGCCGTAGATAGTAAGGTGCACTGTCCTAGCTTAAAGAAAAGCCTATCCACTCTTGCCTTGAAAACACCAGCATTGTAACCGGATGAAAAGACAGATGCTCGCTGTTAATATACATAAAAATGCATTTTTGTTTACATTACGTTTAAAAGAAAACCACAACGTATATTATCCTCTTCGATTCTTTATTTGCGACTACTTTAAAAATTATTTCACTCCTTTGCTGTACGCTTGACGCAAACCATTTGATTCGAATGCGTGGTATGTGACAAAAAAGGGGTGAAAATTGGGCGAACTTAATAATGCCTATAGGTAATTCTATAGTCTTGTCAACTCATGTCAGTCGTTGACGTAGGTTTAGTAATAAAAAAAGTTAAAATCATTATAAATATACTTGCAACGAATAGTATATTCGCTCACAGGCCGAATACCGAATATTCTGCGGACTTCCTGGCCTAATAGACGAATGTTAGGAATTCAGTCGGGAACATAGAATACTACAATACATAGTCGGGAAGGAAGTAGGTTTATTCTTCAGAGCGTCTATTCTCTAATTCTCTACGAGAAGAAAAGGAGTAAACTACTGCCTGACAATGAAGAAAATTAGTCTTTATACACCATTATCTTCCACTTTAATTGCGATAAATTTTATAATATGGAAGTTGATTATGTACCTATGACTACTTTAATGATTACAAGAAAAAAGTTTAATTATAAAATAAATATTTTCATTTTACCAATTATCTGACTACAACTACAACAATACATTTAACTTATGTATTCCATATTCGGCCGAGTAGTATCTAGATATTCGGTATTCATCCGAATAGGATAGAAATAGTTGAATATCCCGAATAATAACTCGACTCTCGATGACGGGGGAACACACCGACGTCCATCCCGCGGTGTAAGTGTTCCATGCCGGATGTACGGTTTATACAGCACTCGGTTCGCAAAGCACTCCTCTTCCTGGACGTCAGCAAGTCGAGTGGGCCTGATGGAGTCCCTCCCATTGTGCTGAAAACGTGTGCTTCGGACTTGGCACCGGTTTTAACGCGTCTTTTCCGGTACTCCTACTCCCATGGCGTAGTCCCGAGATCTTGGAAGATAGCTTTGGTCCACCCGATTCGATCCCTATAAAAGGCGGCCGCTCAGAACCGTCCAACTACAGCTTTATCGCCATCACCTCCTTGTTCTCCAAAATAATTCAGTCCATTGTAAACTGCTTGCTCATGAGGTACCTTGAGGATCACCAGTTTATTAGTGACCAGCAATACGGTTTCCGTCGTGGTCGATCAGCTGGTGATCTTCTGGTCTACCTGACTCATAGATGAGCAGAGGCAGTAGAGTCCAAGGGCGAGGCACTGGCCGTTAGATTGGACATAGCGAAGGCCTTCGATCGGATCTGGCATAAAAGGCTTCTTTCGAAGCTCCCTTCCTATGGAAGACTATTTTTTCGGGAAGCCCGAGAAAATATGCGATTGGATCACTAGTTTTCTTGCTCATCGGAGCATCAAGGTAGACGGTGCATGCTCTGATTACAAGCTTATTAACGCTGGTGTCCCACACGGCTGCGTGCTATCACCAACGCTGTTTCTTCTGCATATCAGTGATATCTTGCAAACTGGTAACATTCATTGCTATGCAGACGACAGCACTTTTGATGCCTTATTTACTTACGAGTACCGGAGCAAACTTGTGTCTGAAGGCAAGTCTTTGCTGAACAAAGTCTCGGATTGGGGGCGACTAAATCTAGTCCAATTCAATCCCCAGAAGACGTTAACCTTTCCGTTTTTTTATTTGCGCGTTAACCTCTAAAAAGAACCCCTTTGTCGTATCTCCTCTGTTGGAGTTGGAGGCACTCCCCTTCCTGCCTCAGCTAGCATCGGGACCCTCGGCGTCGACATATCGAATAGTGTGTAGTTTCGTGGTCACTTGGAGGGGAAGGCCAAATGGCTTCTAAAAAGCTTGGCGTGCTCAGCAGAGCGAGACGGTATTTCATGCCGTCACATCGCTTGCAACGTTACAAGGCACAGGTTCGGCTTCAAATGGAATACTGTTGTCATCTCTGGGCCGGGGCACCCTTGTGCCAGGTCCTTTTCTACTTGACCGCATTCAGCGCATAGCGATTCGAATCGTCGATGACCGAGTTCTTTCTGGTCGGCTCGATTGACTGGCGCTGCGTAGGGATGTTGCATCCCTTTGCGTTTTCTATCGTATCTACCATGGGGAGTGTTCTGAGGGATTGTTCGGATTAGTTCCAGCTGCCAAATTTCACGAATTCACATCGCGTCAAAATACACGATACCATGCTCACAATCTGGATGCTTGGCGGTCCACCACTGTGCGTTTTACTGGGAGTTTTCCTTGTACAACTTCTCTATGGAATCGTTTACCACCGGCGATTTTTCCGGATTGATACGACTTAGGGACCTTCAAGAAAAGAGCTTACTTCTTTCCAAAAGTAAAATGGGTCTCCGGTTCTCTATACTCAAGAAACACAGCAGCGTTAAGCTGCTATTTTACGCTGGTATTCTCCTTTCCTCCTTTCTCGGTCGAGCCGACCCATTCGTGCTACAAGCATAATATAACTGCAGCGTGGCTCAACCGCTTAAAAATTAATTGTCAAACTAGAGTGATATATTTTCGTGTAATGTTAACGCCAACAAAAATGTACAATTGGACCGTACAATAAATATGTTGTGATATATTTATTTTGAATACCATTAGGTTTATTAGTAATTTGACAAAGGTTATAGTAATATAGCTATTAGTTGTTATGTTGGTTTGTGCGTTGTGTGTAGTGGCGACGTCGAAGCATAACCCGAACGCGCTACGCGCGCTGGTGGGCGGGCTGGCGGCGCTGCGCGAGGCGGAGCGGCGCGCGTGCTGGGGCCGCCCGCTCGGCTCGCGGGCGCTCTGGCGCCACCACGACCGTGCCATCGCGCGCATCACGCGCACCGCGCAGGCCGTGCGCATGCAAGAGGTACGCACCGCTGCCCCCAGCTGCCACCGCACGTACGGGGCGGCCCCCTCGGGTCAGGCGCCACCACGACTGCGCCATCGCGTGCACCGCGCAGGCCGTGCGCATGCACGAGGTACGCACCGCTACCACCAGCTGCCACCGCACGTGCGGGGCGGCCCGCTCGGCTCTGGCGCCACCACGATCGCGTCATCACGCGCACCGCGCAGGCCGTGCGCATGCACGAGGTACACACCGCTGCCACCAGATGCCATCGCACGTGCGGGCCGGGCCGCTCGGCTCTGGCGCCACCACGACCGCGCCATCACGCGCACGGCGCAGGCCGTGCGCATACACGAGGTATGTAGCGCTGCCACCAGCTGCCACCGCACGTGCGGGGCCGCCCGCTCGGCTCCGGCGCCACCACGACCTCGCCATCACGCGCACCGTGCAGGCCGTGCGCATGCACGAGGTACACACCGCTGCCACCAGCTGTTATAGCACGTGCGAGGCGGCCCGCTCGGCTCTGGCGCCACCACGACCGCGCCATCACGCGCACCGCGCAGGCCGTGCGCATGCACGAGGTACACACCGCTGCCACCAGCTGCCATCGCACGTGCGGGGCGGCCCGCTCGGCTCTGGCGCCACCACGACCGCGCCATCACGCGCACCGCGCAGGCCGTGCGCATGCACGAGGTACACACCGCTGCCACCAGCTGCCATCGCACGTGCGGGGCGGCCCGCTCGGCTCTGGCGCCACCACGAGCGCGTCATCGCGTGCATTACGCGCACCGCGCAGGCCGTGCGCATGCACGAAGTACGCACCGCTGCAACCGCTCCACACGTGCGGGGCGGCCCGCTCGGCTCTGGCGCCACCGCGACCGCGCCATCGGTGCGCATGCACGAGGTACGTACCGCTGCCACCAGCTGCCACCGCACGTGCGGGGCCGCCCGCTCGTCTCCGGCGCCACCACGACCGCGTCCATCACGCGCACCGCGCGAGGCAGTGCGCATGCACGAGGTACGTACCGCTGCCACCGACTGCCACCGCACGTGCGGGGCGGCCCGCTCGGCTCTGGCGCCACCACGATCGCGCCATCGCGCGCACCGCGCAAGCCGTGCGCATGCACGAGGTACGTACCGCTGCCACCAGCTGCCACCGCACGTGCGGGGCGGCCCGCTCGCGCGCGCTCTTGGACCACCACGACCACGTTATCGCGCGCATCACGCGCACTGCACAGGCCGTTCGCATGCACGATATACGCACCTGCCACCAGCTGCCACCGCACATGCGTAGCCGCTCGCTCGGCTCGCTCTTAACAGCCGTACGATTAACTGTAACCATCCATAGTGTGCTACGCGCATGCACGAGATATTATCTACAGTCTCAACAGCCGCACATGTAAACTGTCGGCGGAAATCGAACCCGGTTTGCTCGCGTACTGTGAAATTTACAGCAAGCGCTTACCCACCACGTGCTCAGCGGTGAAGGAAAACATCGTGAAGAAACCTACATGACTGAGAAGTTCGCCAACTCGCATTGGAGCAGAACGGTGATCACATACTTGTCTTGAAATCATATCAGAAATGAGAGAGGGCCTGTGCCTGGCATTGGGACTCCTAATAATTCTGATTTTTGAAAATAATGGTAACGTCTTGGTAGCATCCACGTATACCACTAACGGATTTCCGGACTCCTAAAATCTGTTCAACGAGAGCTAACAAACTTTATGAAAACGTCCCTCATTAACGACTGCGCTTAACTATCGCAATCTGTGACGAACATCGCTTATCACCATAATTTTGGACTGTTGTTGTAAGCTGACGCGGCCATTCCATCAGCAAAAAATAATTAGCGGGCCGCAATCTCGTTTCGTCGGTTTGCAAAGGTGCGCGCACCACGGAAAAACTATTGGATAGATTTCAATTAGATTTTCTACGTTTTATTTCTTAGAGCTCGTGCCCCTATCAAAAAAATATTGCGATATTTTCATTTAATATAAAGTTATTGAAGTTTCGGTGATGCGCGTTTTCTTACCGCGTTAACCGTTACAAATATATAAATTCCAACTATAACTTTGCTAATAACTTCGCTGAATTGCTAGCTACCTGTTTTTCAAACGGTCAACCTCTAACCCAGATAATTTATATATTTTAGCTACAAACGAAGTAACGCATAACATTGTGTACAAAGACATTTTGTAAGAAAAGTATATTTATATTTGCGATTTTTTTATGAACGGTATGGCAGCGCATAAATACGAACAAACAAATATTGATTTTTATATATTATATACAGTTCTAAAATAATATACAAAGAGTATGGAAAACTTTTACTGATTCTGTATTTTTTAAGATATTAGCGAAAATAGGTTTATATATATATATAAGGTAGGATGACAAAAGTGGTTGCTGCGGCCCATAGACATCTACATCTATCCTCGATTACAAATCAAAATGCGGATGACTAAGATGGAATGCCTCGTTTCCAGTAAAAAGGGTCTCCGGTTCTCTACACTCACCATACGAAACACAGCAGCATTAAGCTACTATTTCACACTGGTATTCTGTGAGAGCGTGGTCCTTCCCCGGTCGAGCTGACCCATTCGTGCTACAACTATACTACTAATATAACTGCAGCATGGCTCTACCACGTATAAAATGGTGGGTATGAGGAGCGTCATTTTCCACTATTGCGGCACCAGTCAGCAGGAATCCATGATACGACATTGACTTTCCAGTCCGGTCCATTGTACTTAAAAACGCTAATGATGTGTTGTGACACCAGATTATTTTTAACCGTTATTTTTATTACAGCCAGGACCAGAGGTAGTGCCAAAGCTCCACGACCTTCCCGAGGAGTGCATCAGAGAGATTATGTTAAGGATATCGGACCACAGGGATTTAGACGTAAGTAAATTAGATAGCACAGACAGAGACTCTTGTCTACACATCTTATATATATTCCGCAACCCGACCGTTTAACCCCAACCGTTTAACCCTTTAGTTTAATCTCTTGTACTATTATTTATTCTGTGGTTTAATGAAGGCATAGGAAGGTGTATGGTACATCTGACAACACTAGATCAATCGTTTAACTCCTTTTCTCTGCCGATAACGTCATTTTACAAGATGGCGTCAACAACAAGTGTAATAATGCCAATGTAAAAAGGCTAAATATTTAATGAAAAATTAATTACAAAATGTATGTGATAAAATTATTTTTTATTTGACCCATTTTTGTAAACAATTGTCACACCCTTACTTACCTACCCTTACTATTACTTACTTACCCTTATAAAAAAATATAGGAATAGGGGTGTTGTCAATCGAGGTCACAGTCCACCTGATAATAAACAGATGTTGTAAGTGTAACTCATAGATATTTATCTTCGATTAAGAATCAGAATATAGATACGTTGTCATACCCAAGCACAAGTACTAAAATTGAGTGTCAAGTTACCTGTAACAGAGGTCTCCGATTCTCATCACTAAAAATACAAAACACTGCAATATTATGTTGCCATTTTGTGCTGAAAATAGCGAAGTGCGAGCGCGGTCCTTTCCCGGTCGACACAACCTTCGCATTGCAACTGTATGGACGTAGGACTTTTGCATAAGAGATTCTATCAACCTAACATTTCTGTCATTATCATCATTACAGGCCATCACAAGTCCACTGTTGAATATAGGCCTGTGGAAAATAATGCCACAAAGCACGGTCCTAAGCCTCCTGTATTAGTACCTTCATTTCAACGTAAGAGACTAATAATTCAAAACAACAAAGAAATAAGACGTTGATAAAATTTCAACTGACGCCCAAACCAAAATCATGCTCAACTTATTGTTAACTAGCGGATACCCGGCGAGTAACCTACTACGCTAAAAAAGCTTTTGTTTATTTCTTGGAAAAAAAAGGAACTTTTGTTAATATTTTTTTTATACTGGGTGACTTTTTAACGTCTGGAAAAAATACGGTGTAACAGGTGAACGGAATAGAAACCTATAGAACTGATATTTAGCAGTTGACTTGTGAAGTTCTGTAATGATGATTATGATGATAATACGAGATATTTCGCAGGCCGCCTCATCGGCATGGAGCGTGATGGCGTCAGTGTGCTCAGAGCGACGAGTCTGGCGCGAGCTTGTGATGTTCCACTTTACGCAGCAGCAAATCAACACTGCGCTGGGCAAAGATGAGAAGGACGTCGACTGGAAGAAACTCTTCCATCAGCTCAGGAAGTAAGATTATTCTATTTAATAAAATAGAATGTTACAAGATTTTGCAAACGTTATAGTTTGTGGTCTACAAGCACTTTAGGGTTAAGTGCTCGTAGTTTGTGGTTAAATAGCGTTTTTGTCAGCGAATGCAAATCAAACATGGAAGCATTCGTAACTCCAAATTGAGCTGCTGTAAACGTGGCTTAGTAATTTTACTACAAAGGAGTCTAGTTCGAATATCGTCACTATCGTTATACTGATTAAATATAATTTGCATTGCACCTTATCTCATAAAACATCCCTGGTGACCAATGGCGATTTCAGAAAATCTTCCCGCGCAAACGTAGTAACGTGAGGGAGTATATCCAGCTGAAGACCTTTACTAACTATTAACCAATAAAGAAGACATATTTATCGATGCTTTCATTATTGTTTTAGTAAAGATTTTAAATAATTATTTTAAAATCAAACAACTTAGTTTCCCGCCAGTCTGCATATCAACTACAGTCCAAACTATTGTAATACAATATACCAACCTTTTCATTGTAGTATTTACAGCACATCTTTCCAATTCGGATGAAGCCCCGTCCAACTGATTCAGATTCTAATTTACCTTACACCGTAGCGCTCTTGTATCCACATAATATGGTTAGCTCTTTAAAGTTTTCCCGAGAGTGCAGTGGGCTAAGCGTTTAGTTGCGCTTTGAGCCGTGGTTCAAATCTTGCAAGTATTTATACGGTAATTATACGGCGTCCGAGTAATTTCTCATGTCTATATTGGGCTGAATTTTTGTCTATGTATACATCTATATCTTTAAAAACCTTGATGATACAGATTTTTTGTTAATTTAATTTTACAGCTTATATACGTCCCACTACTGGGCACAGGCCTTCTCTCATTTCTGAGAGTGTTTTAGGGCAAGAAAGTGTCTGCCGCGCTGCCCCAAAGCGTATTGGCGAACTTCGCATGTCTTCGAAATATGTTCTTTCTTATTTCTCAGACATGCAGGTTTCCTCACGATGTTTTCCTTCACCGTAGAGCACGAGCACGTGGTAAATCAGCACTTGAAATTGCAGCTAATAATTTCATTGGTGCCGACGGGAATCGAACCCGGGTTGCTCGCGTACTGTGAAATTTACAGCGAGTGCTAACCATCTGAGCTACCACGGTTAATTTACCACACACTAATTCTGTTAATTTCGTAGATTATACGGTTTGCGAGAAGATGCCCAGTATGCGGAGACTCTGTCCCTGTGTCGTCACTGCAAATGCCTGTTCTGGCGTTCCCTCGGACACCCCTGTATTGCAGATCAGGTAACTAAAATACGTCATCTTCTAACTAATCTTATATATTTCATGATTTACAACGATACCAAATATTTAGTGGTGACGTAGGGGATTCCACTTGGCCATATCTTCCCGTGGGTGTCGTAAGCGACTGAAGGATATGAAACTGGAGATGGGCAGCAGCATCTTACTGATAACAACTCAAGACAATAAAAAACTGAGGTGACCACCTGCTTCCCAAGCGTGGCAGCTATGGCAAACATCATGAGGACTGATGATGACTTTGATAGGACGTATTAAATAATGATGTCTCAATGCTCTGAGAAATTGTTCGGACTAATTCTAGCCGCACAATTTCACCATTGCATATCAGGACAAAACTCGCGATACGTTGAACGGCGTTGTTTAGTGAAGAGGCTAGGGTGTTGATTGAATTGCTAACTGCGATATATATCACTCTAAACACTGATAAACTATTATTGACTCCATTTTTCAATTAAAATGACCTGGTGTAATAAATTATTTCACCTCACTTTCAAATAGCGACATCTGGTGACCGTAAAATTATTAGTCCACGTTATAGCTGGCAGTACAAATGGTTTAGCTCAACTGGGGAAGAACCACGATTGCATGGAATACTAGCGGGATAATCAAGCTGCGCTTCGTATGTTTGGTGAGAATCACTTTTTACTGGTAAAGAGGCATTCCATCTTAATATATGGAGTGTAGAAGTAAGGACTAACTATGTATTAAAAAGTGTCCATAAAAACCATTAAATAAGGGTGGCGCCACTATAACTACACGGTAAATTTTAAAGAACGTGCCGAAAAATATTAGTGGGATAGACGAGTTTTTCGAGGTTATATTTACTAAATAAAATTATTTTAGATTTTAGAGCTACTGATCAGTTTAGCAGCACACTTAAACCGGCGACAACTGGTAAGTTCATTTCATCCCAGTAGCTACTCCAGCGCTGTTGTGGAGAGTTTTTGAGTTGTTATTTACTGCTTACAGATGGACACTTTTTCAACTGTTCTACTATGGGAGTTGGTACTCCTTACTTCTACACTCCATAGGTTAATACCTAGGGATGTCAAACCTATTGCATTTTGATTCTTAATTGGAGAATAGATGTAGTCTTATATGTGCCACAGTATCCACCTACCATCATGTGAGCTTATTTGTCACTCTTACTTCTATGAAAGTCAGATGGCAGAATTTGCCAGTTAATTGGTTTCACAACCGGTATTCAATATAATCTCTATAGAATGCTATGCCAAATCCCTTAAATAGCGTTTAAGATAATGGCTGGGCAATATTTATGTATATTTTTCACATCTGTAGGAAATAGTACATAATAATCCTCCAGACCGAATTTTGGTCACGGCGGCCAGTCTCAACGGAGACTAGCTATCGACAGGACAGGATTATATTACTCAAGTGTATGCGCAAGCACAAGTGCACTCTCTATTCACTCACTCTCTGATGTGATGGTAAACTGTCACAACTGGAGAGAGATCAGGTGCAGGACCAACGGCTTTACGTGCTTTCCGAAGCATGGGGGTGAGACACCGCCAACTTCCTGACTCCAAGCAGCTACTGAGAATTTCTTGACGGAAAAACTCAATAATTGATTTTTTGGCCCGACCCGGGATTCGAACGCAGGACCTCATGATCGGCAGTCGCACTACTACAACCACTAGACTAGACCAACGAGCCAGTCAAATACTACATATTTATTATAATATAAAGGTGCCGTCAAGTATATTGACGGCACCGTGGCGCAGTGGCTTAGCAATGAGTTCCAGCGCTAAGGGTCTTGAGTTTGAATCCCGTATTTGTATGGCATCCAAATAATTATTCCGAGCCTGGGTATATTATATCCTCGTGAAATTTATCTAAACGTGTATGTATGCAAACTGTCTCCACGATGCAGGAGACAATCCTAGTGTGAAGGTAACGTTTCTTTCTTAGAAAAAAAGAAAAGAAAAATATATAATTTTGTTTTAGTGTCCAGAGTACCGTGAACGACTGAAGGAAGCCGGCGGCCCCCCTCCCGCCGCACCCCGTCCCGCCCGCTGCATTCCTCAAATTCTTCTCGCTTTAATTCACTTTATAAGGCAGAACGGTCTAAAAATTAAATTAAAACTTTGCCACTCTATACACATAAATTCATAATAAGTCAAAAATTAACTTTATATATCACTCATTATTAATAATTGGATATAAATATATATTATATTAAGTAATAATATTATATATTATTTTGAAGCGACAGTAGGTTGTGGTTGCGAACTACAAACTTGAAAAGTTGAAGGTTTGAGAACGAACTCAAAAAATTGTAATTGAAAAAAAAATTGGCAGCTAATGTATTTGACCATATGAAAATATCCAATGATATTATAAAATAATATCGAATAAATATTATAAGAGAAATAAATTTATTGCCACATGTCAGCCATTGAGTGTAAGTTAATTCAACAACCAAACATGTTGTAATTTTTACGTAGGCTTTTCTATGTTCTGTTTTAACTTTTTTATTGTACTAACATAATGTTAAATTAAAAACCACTTTTGATTATTTTATATAATCAAGCAGGTGTGGTGTTCCTTTTAAAATAAGTGTGTTTGTTATTTTTGTACTATAATGGTCAATTTAATGGATAGTTTTTGACAACAAATATCAGTTAACCTTCGCAAATGCCCAGTAAAATGATGATAGTTTTTCATAGTGACTTAAATTGTTTTTTAGGTTATACAAGTATGAAGATTCCTAAACTACAACTTACCTTACACTTTTGATCAATGCAAGACAATATGAAAATACGTAATACCAGTTAATAATTTAATTTATATTTTCTTTTTGATGAAAAAAAAACATATATGCTTAATAAGTTTTCTTTATAATCTTGTAAAGTCTTACCTTATAGTGTTTTTTTTTTGTTTGACATTCACAAATCTTTATTTTAAAAAAAGCTTGTGATATTTCTTAATCCTATGACGTATTATAATAGTTTTGTGTGTGTTAACCTAAAAGTTTTTTTTATAAGTTAATATAATACTTGAGCCAAATCAAAATATAATGGACTTAAATTTTGCGACAGTGGAAACAAGGCTGGACAAATATTATATTGGCATCTTAATGTCTGTTTATACTAAATGTATGGGTCTCACTGCCAAAGAATTTTGCTTAATAACTAAATTTTTTCCTAAAATTTCTATCGCCAATACAATAAAAAATAGCGATATACATATTAAAAATAAATAAATAAATTGACTCCTCTTTTATGGAGGGTAGAGGTAAGGAGGACTATCTCTGTGTATGAAAAAGTAAAAATTTTAAAAACATTTTATATTTTAAAGAAAATAATTTGGACTATTTTATTTTATTTTTTGAATAAGTTTATTACCTATGTGTTTGAAGTTCAGAAAAATGAAATCACTCGCCACATTTTCTCACTGCTCATCCTGTTTTTAATGAGAAACAGTTAACAATAGACCCTAGAGAAGACTGTGGATATAAGGTTTCCTTGCACTAATGTTGCCCTCGTTATAAGGAGTAATAAAGACCGATTTTCAATACACTGTAAAAACTAACAAAACACCAACTCTTTCATGAGAGCTTCAGTGAGTAAAATGAGGCAAATTTCTCTAGCGAGTCCAATACTGTCTTACTAAATTTATGCATTTATTTTAATAAACACATCGTCTCCTCAAAACCTTTTTTATTCCAAAGAGAACTTTTTTTTACGTGATAGAGCTGTGCTGCAGCTATATTGTGGTTGCAGCACGAATGGGTCGGCTCGACCGGGGAAGGACCACGCTCTCACAGAATACCAGCGTCAAATAGTATCTTAATGCTGCTGTGTTTCGTATGGTGATTGTAAAGAACCGGAGACCCTTTTTACCGGAAACGAGGCATTCCATCTCAGTCCTCAGGGCTGGCAACGCATCTGCATTTTGATTCGTAATTGAAGATAAATGTAGATGTCTATGGGCCACAGCATCCACTTACCATCAGGTGGACTGTGTGCTCATTTGTCACCCTTATTCTATAAAGAAAAAAAGAACTACAGTACATAGTAGTACATAAGTTAGTATTATTCCGATACTTTTGGTTCACTAAAATGCTTATTCTATTTTATTTCTAATGAAGACATTTTTCTTATAATTTATGAAGTAGCTAAATAACGCAACTATAGTTACTTAACTCAAAAAAATGTTTTCTTTAAAAGCGAATGGATAAATTGTAACTCATGGATTTTGTGGATAAAGAACCCACAAGTTGACCATGTCATAATATCACAATATGTCTTAAAACCCATATGTATAAAGAAATATTTGATTAAGCCATACAGTAAGATACTTATGTATAACAATATAAATAGTATAATATATTAGACACATACTTCTTTTTGTAGTACTCAAAAAGTAGCCCATTGGTGGTGTTTGTAGTGATACAATATTGACTGCTTGAAAATTATATGCATAGTGTAAGCATGATTATATTTTTTGACCTTAGAGTGTAAACAAAGGATGCTTAGTATACATACATCATTGCTAGATATTGGCTTAAAAGCTATATTTTTGTAAAACTAGTGCTAAGACCTATTATCATCTGCCAGTAATTGTTTTCAGGCGATAAAATTTCAGTGGTTTGCTTATTCTCGTAGGCCTAAAGACTAAATTACTATATCCAAACATAATTCTGTCCAACATTATCTCACAGTTTTAATGTAGTCATTTAAAATCTTCTCAAGTCTGATTATATATTATTTGATTGTCAAAACTGTTCTCTGTATTGTGTAGAGTAGTTGTTAATATTGTGATATTTTAAGATTAAAAAATAATCTACCTTTTAAGTGTTTGATAGTACCAAGATGCTAACATTATAAGGCATATAATAAATATAAGAAAATGCAGCTTTCTCACAAGTAGAATATCTTTAGTTATCTGTGATGTGTTTTTTGTGCAATGGAATTGTTTTGAACTCATGTTTTCTTATTCTTGATGAATGTATTTTTAATAAAGTTATTTTAAATAATAATTTTGATATTTTATTTAAATTTATACCATACACATTACAATGTCTTTCCGATGCCTACAAGCTACATAAAAGTATTTACCACTCATTAAAAAACAGACCTGAATTGAAGTGGCTTCCACAAGCCATTTAATCTCTTACAAAATTTAAGAATTTCCAAAATAATTTTTTTACACAAGCAAAATGAGCACATTATTTATTTTTAAAAGTAATTTGAATAACTTTTACTAGTTAACCATTTACATGAGCATGCTTACAATTATAGTCATATACAAATAATATACCCCATGCAGTCTGCAAAAAGCTCATATAAAACAAGTGGGCCTAACACCAGCAAACATTTGGATCCAGTGCACCCTAAGGGGTCTCTATATATTTTTAAATGGTATCAGGATATGTTTTATCTCCTTACAATAAGTTACTTGAGATTAGAGCTGTCCATGTTGTAAAAATGTTAAAAATTAAAAAATTTAATTATTGGTTCTTGCACTGTGAAAAGTGTATTTAATAGCTGAACATTTTGAATGTGAAATGTTTTTATTTTATATACAGCGATTATCATTTATTACGACCTTGGTTGTAGCAACCATTTACCTATAGCAATGTTAAATCAAGTCCCTTAAATTTAACCCTTTAATCCCATAAAAATCCCATGCAGTTGCATGCGACCGCTCGGGATTTGCCGGACCGCACCCACCCACAGCACTTAAAACCATTAAAACTTATATTTAGAGACTACTTTTCAATGAAGAAGTTTGGCATTATAAAATATATACAAAAGTCTTAGTCCTGTGGTCTAAACAAGTCAGGTTTTACTTCATTACAAAAAGATTTATTTTATTTTGATAACAAAAAAAAACATACCAAGGAAATGTTGGCAGTGTGAAAATCAAAATTATCTCAATATAATATATAACTCGAAAATATTTATGTAAAAGGATAAATTATATTCACACAAAAACTTTCATTACAATTATATAATAAAACACAATACGAAAATACTAATAAAACACTAGAAAAATCCTAAAATCAACACAATAACATTCATGCAAAAATGGCGTACGAAACTTCTTCATAGAAAAGTAATCTCTATATATAAGTTTTTATTGGTTAAAGTGCTGTGGGTGGGTGCGACCTCATGAGACCGCTAGGGATTTGACGGAATATGGCCGCGGTCTCATGAGACCGCTAGGGGATTAAGAGGTTAAAGCATACCATAGTACAAAATTCATGTAGCTATAGCGACTTTGGATGTAATACCGAGTTCGGTTGTAGCAACTGGTTTTAATGAATCATATGTAACAAATTCCTAGAAATCCCATGCAGATATTGCAGTAGGAGTCAGGAGTCGGCCGACAAAGACACAAAGATTTCTTTTTTCACAAACATTTCTTATCTTTTGTTTACATCCACACAGATGGTCAGCAAGTGTGCAGACCCTTACCTTTTGTTTATAGATACCAGCTAAGCAGGTAGGGAAGCATGTACGTTTTGGAGTTACATTTACGGTTTAGTGACAAAGTGATATTCTGAGTAGCATTTTGAAAAGTACCAGTGAATAACTAAGTGCAAATATTTTCAATAATATATGAATATAAACTATACATATGTATGTGTCTATATCTCTTTACCATTGCCTGTAATGACTTCCAGATATAACGACAAAAATAGAGTGGTCCCTTGATCATCGTTATACCTGAAATCCTCAGTATATTATTAGGGGTGACTGGATAGTACAAATGTAAATCTGAGATATGACTGAATTTGTGTAATTTGCTGTTAATACTCAGTTCATAAGGTTAATTTGCAGTGAAGTTTCTTTGGAATATAATCTAATATTTTTTTTACTGTATCTACAACTGTTCATCACTGTTAGTGACAAGAGAACTGTTTCTTTTATTGTCCATAAGAATAGACATTTGGTGAAAAATAGCTAGCATTTTAGGCACTATACCATAACAACTATGCTAATAAATAAAAAAAACTAAAGTTTATGTTGTAGAGCAACACTGCAGCATAATAAGTGAGTTGCCACAGCATGCATTTACTATCAAGTGGAATGTGTGCTTGTTTGTCATCCCTATTCTATAAAAAAAATACCAGAGAATAAATTGTATGTGAATTTATAAAGAAA